TGTGAAATTTTTCACAAATATATCCTTATGCCATGATAATCAATCAAAATTGTAGATCATTATGTCATTATAATCAATCGTGTCATCAGGCTACTATATCCAATCAAAACCAAGATTTTGCAAAACTCGATACATTAATATCGACACATTCGATATTAAATTTTTATTTGAATTCTTACCCAACATGTTTGCTGTGTTTAGTTTGTACGAAATTTGTGAAAAAGACTATCAAGAAATACAAAAAAGGATCCGGATATAAATTTGACTTCATAATAAATATATTACACGAATAAATGTTAAACAATTGTGATTTTAACATTTTGAGGGGAGTCAATATAAAAGGGACAAATTTTTTCTTAGTAAAGTTTTCTTAACTTTAAATTTAAATATTTCAACAACTATCTAATCAAATTTTATAATTTTAATTCTATACAAATCTAAGATTAAAATAAAAATTTTTTATCAAATTTGATTAAATAGTTGTTGAGATAATTTAAAAATGATTTATTCCTTTTTATTGACTCCCCTTATTTGTAGAAAATAAATTACAAAGTTTTTTAATACATCCTTATCTTTCCAAACGCTTGAGAACTCGATTTTGTAAAAGGTCTGCTAACACCTAAGTGTTTAACAATTTTTTGAATTGATAAGCCTTCTAAAATTTGTTTCTTTGCCAACGAAGATGCTTTAAAAGTAGATATGCGCCTGCAGTCTTATAATATCCCTATAAAAAAAAATCTCTTGGAATCATTCTGAAATTATATCCGATTTTTTGTTTGGCAAATCGACACCGTTTTGAATCTTTACGGTGTGTTTATTGGATATTATACGTACGTTTTTTGCACGATAATTATTTAATTAAAAATTCTCTATTTTAACGTCCCGTAGAAGCATCGTAATGAAAACAGTATAAGAATAAACTCCTGTTCGGAAAATCGACTCTACACTGAACAATTTTAGAACAAACATTTTTATAAGGATTTTATATCAGCCACCTGATCTTAAATTTCACATTGAATCTATTATTATTATGCCGAAATCAATAACTTAACCGAATCGGCCGAAAAATCGATCGGCTAATTTTTCGTCAGGTGTCCCAGAATTTATGAAAACAGCTGTAAGTTGACCCGATTTCCACCCGGGTGAAGGTTTTTTAGACGGGTCAAATCACTAATTGGGGATTATAAAAAAAAAGCACTCCAAATGGATCTCAATTGCAGTATAAGTCTTGCAACCAAAATCAAAGTATTCAGTGTTTTGGGCGAAACTTGGGGTAGAAATTATACAGTATAATATTTATTAGACTATGTAAATACATTTTTACATTATACTGTACATGATGGTATAATAAATGGTATAGTATTTTATTATATTGTAATTTTAACCTTGACGAAACCCAAGTTTGCGAAATTAGTTTCAGAAGGTTTCAGACTTGTAGTGCGAAAATAAAATTCCTCATGGCGAAACGTTTTGGATTTTGAAATAGTTTCTCCCAAAAACACTACTCACCACCTCAATTTTTTTAGGAACTAGGGTAGCCTTATACTCCTTTAGCTTGCTGCCAGATGGCAGATTTTTGTCACCCAAGCTATCCACAGCATCTATATCTTTCAGCTTCAGTGGGCGGAGCAAATACAAGTCTATTTAAAAATGATAGCTATATTTCGTGTGCATATCGAATAATCTATGTCCATATTCAATTTTTCTGGGTGTTTACATGTTTTTTATTAGAACGAAGTTATGGAATGAGAAGAATTAATGAAGCAGATAAGAACTCTGTATTCCGACTTGAAGAAACAAAAGTTAGAAATGTATTAACAATGCTGATAAAATTTTTGAAGCAATAGATGAATAAACATAAATTTTCAGAATGTATTGTGCATATTTTATAGAAAATTCCAGATTATCATCCGGGTTAGGAGAGCAACACGCATACATGCACAAGTTCTGATGGTTAACGGGTGATAAATATATGATAAAAGCTTGTGGAGAACATTGTTAAAGTACTTCAAGACATTTCATTATCCTCCCCTTTTATTAAAGTCACGAGTGCTTCCTTAAATACATGATTTTGGATGAATATTTACGCATTTACATTTGTATTAACAGATCTTAAATGAATGCTCTTTCATACTAAATAAATTACAACACATGTTTATCATTTGCTAATGTACTGTACAGTACATCGTAACATACTCCCACACAGCTCATGTGAAACCTAAAAACACAATCAAGAATTTAAATTTTACATACAAAAAAAAAAATAAAATAAAATAAAGTAAACAATAAAAATTAAAGATTTCTTGTATAGTATAATCAAATTTGTGTAATTGATTGTATTAATTTTCGGTCAATTCACTTCGAGATATGAGATTCGTTACAATAATAGTTTTATTCCACATCCGACATTATTCAAAAATTGAATGGCGGTGTCATAACCAGGGTTCATGTTTCCTGAATATGAAAATCAAGGACAAAGGTGAAAATAAGCTTAAACAATATTTATCAGCATCTGAAGGTCGTGTGTTCAATCTACACAATCAGCACCAAATGTTACCATCCAGGTTGGGAGAGCAGGGACACATGATTAATCCTTTTAATTGTAACATATATATGCGTTTACTTCCAATCATCGTACGTACTGATACTAACCAAGATCTGTCCAAAAAAAAAATTATAAACTTATGTGATTTTCGAGCAATGCTATGCTTATCCGGATTATATAATTTATCTAAATTTATCCGGATTGGTGGAAATGTAACAGATAATCTGACGGATAGCTTAAAATTTTACGCATGTGATAAATAACAATTTAAATGTATTATTTAAATATATAATTAGTAATATTTGTTATTTAAAAAAAAAACTCGACCTAAAATTTTTATATAAAATAAGTCATTTTCAGTTCAGCTCATTTTCAACTTCATCCGCGACAATTATTGAAAATAATTATTGAAAACTTAAGCAACATGAAATACACTTACATCATACTAAATTTATTACCATTTTTATTAATATTACAAACTCATTTGATCGTCTATGCTCTTAACTCATCTCATTTCTCATTATTAGCAAAACGTTTGAATGTATCAGCGAGTAAAGTACCTGATTTATTGGCCAAAGGAGAAACTTTAATCAAGGGAAACCGTTTATTAATTCCATTACTTAATGAGTCAATCTATGGTGGATCTTATATAGATTTGAAGGCAACTAAAATAATTATCAATACAGTAGATGATTCTAAGAAAAAAATCATAACAAATAATGCTACGATAAAACCATACCTAAATTTTTTGTCATTTGTAAAAGTTAGTAATTCTTTAGCTAAATTAAATTCCAATTTTAAAGAATTAACTAGATTAGCAAAACATTATAATGTGAAAAACTTCGTAATAAGCAATGAATACAAAAAAAATAATATAGTTATATATTTAAATAATTCTGATAAATTAAACCAGGAATTTATTAAAAATGGCAAAAAACTTAACCCTATTATAGTCGATGTTAGTAAAACTACAAAAAAAGTGGCCTTTGGTTCGCATAATTCATCGGCTCTAGAATCTCGTGCAATAGGCATTGAACTCTTAGGTGGAAGCGGCTTAACTCAACGTGGTGGTTACAAGTGTTCTGCTGCTTTTTGAGTGAATTTTGGAGGCTTGAGATACCTATCGACTGTTGGGCATTGTGGAATAAATGGTCCTACGAATAGGCATGGGTTTATTGACTTTTATTATGCACCATGGTGGGCTCCCGACACTATCTTGCCTGAAAATCTTATTGGATCAATGACTATGCGAGATATCAATGAAACTGATAGGGGATTCATCTTGAAGGAAACTAACAATTTCGACGTCAAACCATTTATATTAAATACAGTTTCTCCAGAGTTTCCAGAACTAGGAATTGCCGGTACTATGTTTGCAGATGATTCTATTGTTGGATTGGAAGTATGCAAATATGGTCGTACCACACATTACACATGTACTAAGATAAGATCTATCAATTCAGTAGCAAATATACAGGGTTTTATATATGAGAATGTTATAATAACTGACCAGTTAGGGTTGGAGGGAGATAGTGGTGCACCTGTGTACGTGTATACTGATGTGCTTTCTTTAGGCATACTTAAGGTTAATCTTATCGGTATGTATTCTGGTAGTACGCATTTGAATAATTGGCCATTTGGTTTAGTTACACCAGTATATAAGATTTTAAAAGAAAGTATGTCTGTCATTACAATCTTCGATAGGTATTAAAATAGCACATAAAGCTTAGCTAAGGGTATAAAAACTATTGATTACTTTTTAAATATAACGTACTGATGCAGAACAAGCACATATGTACTGTACATAGATGATAGATCAAGAGATTATAATTTTGGATTCAGAATTCAGAATTTATTAAGGATTGTGTTTGGTCAAAATGTAATTGAAAGTTGAAGTGATATTTTCCCTTAGTAGCACTCATATTTAATAGGTCAGATTGGTACTAATTGATTATGATTCAATATGGATAGTGTTGAACCTGTATAATTATTAGTTTTAATCAGAATTGCTATAGATAATGAAGGTGGTATTTATTAGAAGTTAGTTAATACTGTAATAATGGTATACAGTTAAAAGTCAGCTATCGTATTTTAAATCAAGATTTCGGTATTCAAATATTAAACCTAATTTTGGTTCAATTTCTGGATATTGAACCTCCAGACAAATAGTATCCTCATCAACGTAATTTTTTCATGTTGTATTTCTACTAGACAGATATCTATTTAAGTAATTGAGTTATTATCATATTTAATCAAAAACAGTGTATAAAAATAAAGGGCTTACTCTAAAATAAGTACAGTACATGAAGTTATGTTACGTAGATGTCAGGAAATAAATCAGTTATGTCTCGTGTAGTTGATATCAACGGAATTTTGTAGCATTATTCAAAAATCAGTTCTTGGTAGCACTCTGATAGAATAATATACCGATAATTTTATACAGTTAAAGCTCGATATAACGAAATCCACAGGCCGAAATACCTTTAATATATAGAAATATTTGAATATCGATATCAGAAGAATGTTCAAACTCTTATTTGTCATATAAAAAATTTTCGTTATATCAAGATATTCGCTATGTAAAAATTCGTTGACTCGAGTTTTGACTGTATATGTTATGTGTCACTTCACAATTCCTGTTAGTTTCAAAATGATATACCTTAGTTTAAAATTGCAATTTAACGTA